AAAAAAATCCTATTTCAGTCATCTCCAAGCACACCAACCAGTATTTTATTCCCTGTTATTTTTTAGGAAGTAATATAAATTAAATATAATGTGAAGTATGTTGGTGCAGTAGTCTAGTTTTTCCCATCCCATGTCCATCCACACACATCCAAGCTTACCTCTCTATTGTTTAAGTGGCATTTTAGTCAGACTTATGTTTGCCATATCAAATGCCCTCTTCTCTTTACTGACTTCATCCATCCTCATCTCTGCCTTGGCTCCAGCACTTGCCTCTTAGGAATTTTATTATTTACTTATTATTTATTTATTTATTTATTTATTATTTTGAGACAGGGTCTTGCTATGTAGTCCAGGCTACCCTCAAACTCCTCCCTGGCTGAGGTCAGCCTGCCTCAGCCTCCCAAATGTTAGGATTACCAAAGTGCACCATTGTATCCTATCTCTGGAATTTCAATCTTGCCAGATTAAATTTAATTACTTATTAAAGGACAGGCTTAACTCTGTCCATCAAAAGGACAAAAGTTCCCTTGACTATGCTTCTTACCATGTTAATAGGCTTCGAACACTACAATCCCTTGAAAATTACATGAGGACTTTGTAGTCATTTACATAATTTTTTGTTTCTTTGGCTTTTTTTTTGAGACAGGGTCTGTCTATATAGTTCAGACTGAGCTTGAACTCACTGCAATCATCCTGCCTCAGCCTCCCAAGTGATGGAATTGCAGGCCTGTGTCAGCACACCCAGTTAGTCATTTACTTAACTTTTGAATGCTCTTTTTTTTTGTTATTCTTTTTATACCAATCATGCCTTCCTTGTGAGCAGATAGTTTGATGTTTAAAATCCTACTATCTAATTATATCTGCAGTATCTTGTAGAATAAGTATTACAATAAATGTTTATTAGGTAAATGTCAGTGAAAAAGTCTCCCATTACAACCTCTTTAAAAACTTATCAGGGTTGGCCAGATAGCTCAGTGGACTAAAGTGCCTGCTTAGGCAGGCACGGGTGCCCCAGGGTTCAATTATCAGTGTGCTGTGCCAGCCTTACCCACGGGGTGCACTGAGATAGTGACTGAGATTAGGTGTGGTGGAGTACGCCTGAAATCCCAGCACTAGGGAGGCTGAACATAGGAGGATCAGTATGAGTCTGAGTGTGATCCATGTAGTGTAGTGAGACCCTGTAGACCCTGTACTAAATTCATTTTTAAAAAATGTATCAAAATTTTTATGTGAAAATATCATAGCTTTTTAAAATTTGGTTACTTTTTCACTACAAGTTGAGAGGCAAAAGAACCAACACCATGGCTAACATTTATTCAGAGCTACATAGTTTGTATGAACAAGCAAAGCATTTTTAAGATACTAGAATCATTTCTTTTAAAAGGCTTTTAAATTTAGCTTCCAATACAAAATATAGGACCAACCATAGAAGAATTTAGAACATACAGTAAATTCTGGATGATTTCAGTGGAGACCAGGGCCATCCATCATTTATTCAATGTCTCATGTGTCAGTTGTCACAATGTTACTAATTTCACATAACTTGCCATTCATTATTTATTTTTAACACCTGCTCCCCAAAAACCTGAATCGTATTTGGGCTAAGCCATCATCAGTACTACTATAGCTCCATCCAAAATATTATAGCCCAGTGACAAATTTGGGATTTGAATCTTAGTGAATCTGATCTTGCAGCCAAACTGCTTTGAGAAGTTAAACACACTTTTTTAAAGTAGAAAATGTAGCATTTAGGAATGGGTTCAAAACTCGATAATTTCTGATAAGCTATTTAAACTTTCTCAGTCTTAGTTCTTCAGTTTGTCCTAGTAATTGTGAATGTTCTTTATGACTAAACTTTTCTCTAAACTGGTATTTATATTTTGTCCTATTTTACATGTTTTAAAGTCTCATGCCACAGAGTCAGGTTGAAAATCTGTGTATATCAATAGGTTAGATTATAGTAGGGATATGTTGCGTAGAACAGCAGGGATTACCAACTTTTTGTTCATGTATATCTTTATAGTGTTTGACGTAGCAACATAATCATTATTCTTGGAATGAATTAAATCTACTGAGTAGGAGGAAAACTATTATCATTTCTAGAATTGAGTTAACCAAGTTCATACAATCAGAAAATTTTTCTTTATTAAATATCGATTACTAAGTAATATGAATCTGGGTAGCCTGAATGCAACATAAAGGGAGCAGACTAGCTTTCTGTTGCCATTGTTGCTGCTACTCCTCCCTTTTGCTCTTGCTGTTTTGCTGTTTTCCACTGCCATTAACTGCTGCTCTCTGCCATGTGCCAGTATGCTTTGGAGCCATCTGAGAGTGGACTGAAAACTTCACTAACTGTGAGCTAAACAAACTTTCCTTCCTTAATTTTGCAGTCAGGACAGGGTGTAGGGTATTTTGTCCTAGCAACAAGAGAAAATAACTAAGACATCATCTTTCCACAATACCTTTCTTGCATTCTACTCTGTTTATATTATGCATATTAGTAAAAAGATTGACACAAATTGTAGACATGGTTTTACAAACCACGATGTGTTGAGTACCTAGATTTATTTTCATTAACCAGAAAGTAATATGAAAGTGAATGCAAAAAAAAAAAAAAAAAAAAAAGTGAATGCAGGTACTCAACAAAGTAAAATTAGGTAATATAAATCATATCAAGTATTTTAGGGATCATAAAGTTATTAGTAAAACCATAATAGTATTCTCTTAACTACTACATTATAGCAATAATGATAATGGTACTCACCCCTCTAACTTTTTAATTCTTAATGTTATGCAACAAAATTTTATAGTACATAAAGATAAAAGTCTAGAATAACATTTGTATCTAAGAAAGTTGATGCCATAAACATAGTTCAAGTTTCCCTTATGTTCTAAGGAATCTATTTAAAATGAAGAGATATTCCTGAATGAATCAGAACTGGTTTGAACTCATAGTCAGAATGAACTGAATGCAATAAAATCTCAGTACACAGAGAACTCTAATGATGACCAGTTAAGACCTTTTTTCCATCTATAGACATCTGGTACTATTTGACTCTTGTGGAAAGAAAAGTTGAATTACTGTAATAATCACTGGCATTCTTCTATTAAGGATGAGAGTCATACCAAAATTAGCTACATTTCCTTTTTATTTATATGGTTCTGAGTACCTTGTCCTAGAACTTAGTCAAATGAAATAAAACCCTTTTCTATCAAGCTATCAGCATGACAGATTCTCCCAGGCCCTCACTGCCATCACAATTAAAGAGGATATTTTGATGGATTAACTCATGCCCTCAGGATTCATATCTGGTTTGTAGGTCATTGTAAATTAAAGTAGCCATTGGAGAGAAGGGAATACAAGAACAGATAAAATGAATTCCAAGTTACTTGAAAATAAAGACAGAATTAAAAAACTAAGGAATAGCACATAAGTTGGAAAAAATTAGTCTCCTTTAAGAGAATTTGATAAAACTTCAGTTCTTTGTGCAGTCATCTGCACATAGAGCCAGACAGGCAGAGTAGGTGTGGACTCTATCCTAAAATGAGGCCCAGTTCTGTCTCTTGCTGTGAAGATCACAGTGACTCTATAGTACTTATATTTTTATACACTAAACAAGTACTCTAAAACTGTACTTAAATGGCTCCAAATACAGTCTAACAACCTCAAACACAGCAAAACTAACAAAATTTGAAAACTAATTTAATAGACATGTAACTAAAAACAAAAATGTTTCCCACTACAAATACTTTATACTACCACCAAAGAAATATTTAGGAGCAAAAAATGAAACACATTAATTTAAGAATGTGCAAAGTATTTCTGAAGGAAAAGTTACTGTGAAGCTGTATAAATACTAACTAACAAACTACCATGTAACAACCATGGTACTACTTACACTAACCAGGACAATATTACAAATTGAAGAGAAGTGTTAAAAATAAATTTCCAACTTTGACTTTAATGTAGCAATATCTAAGCATGTGACATGAAAAGTTAATATTCAATAAATATGGAGGGTAACTCATACCTTAAATTCCTCCAAGATTTTGTAATTTTTCCCATGATATTCACAAAAGTTTTTCACTTCTTTGCACTCAGGACAGCATCCGTTGTGTTCCACTTTAGTACACTTCGGGTGAATTTTGGGGCATTCTGGCTGGTCACAAACAGGTCCATCTAGAGCACAGACACAGGGACAGTTGGAATGCCCAGGGAAAAACCGTTCTCCCAACTTGTATACAAAGCCGCTGTCATCCACACACCCTTTCCCTCGATAGTCATCAAAGATCAGATTGTCATTACTGGAGGTCTGGTCACCTTCATCAGCAGGATAGTCTTCATGACTGATGGCGGCAGAGGAGACCAATCCAGGGATGACCAAAAGAAGTATGCAAGCTTCATGAATATGAAGAGCCATCCCCCTCCTCAAAGGCTTCTGGATGTGCTCCTAATATTAAATATATTCAGCTCCTTCCATGGGAATACAAGAAGGGTAGGCTGAAAACAAATATTTAAAGAAACAATTTGACATATACAAAGAGAATAGAGATTCATTTAAACCCAGGCTGTTAAATTACATGGGTTCAATTTGGAAGCTACTAAGACAGTAAATGGACTAAATTCATGCAACTATCTACACTTTATTATGATATTTGGAAAATGGGTTCTTGACTGTATATGCATTAAAATTTTGTCCAAAATGAACAAACTCTATAATGGAGTCATTTTACATAAGAACTTCCAGCTTTATATTTTGAACTTGAAAGATCTGAGTTTGTCTAAATTCTAAGAAGTTATTTTACTCAGTCTAAAAAGATGATTACAAGTAGCTAATGACAGCTCATTAATATTTGGATTAATATCCTCTATTTTTCTTTAAAGTACAATAGTGAGGAATGTTTACATTTTATCATAATTTGTATCAAAGTTCAAGAGATCTGAGAAAAAAATCAGCTCCAGAAAAGGGAATAAATCAATATTTCACTGTAAGTTCTAGCTGAGAGGAGCCAGCATAAAATATTTCCTACTTATTTATACCTATATTTGGAGAGAAACAATGATCTCAACATCAATGACTTGTTTCTGTCAACAAGGATCTAAAGTTTGGAACATAAAAATGATAAAGTGCATAGATATGCCATCATGAAGAAAAGAAGCAAGATTTAAAATAATATAAAATAATTCCATGTATTTAAAAGAATTTGTCAAAAATCATTAATTTTTCTTGTTGTCCACATCTTCATTTTACTCAGTAGGTAAGCTCCTAGTGGGCAGGAAGGATATATCTATGAATTTTTTATAGCAACTTGAATCCAATGTTCATGTATTGTTATTTGAACTAATTGCTTCCATATAATATAAATACCAAAATTATGTTTGATAACATAATTATTTTGACATATCAAAAAGATCATCATTCTTTAGGCAATTTGTACAAACCTATCATCTTAAAACTATTTGAGGAAGTTCCTTAAGACAGTGAAAAAGCATTGCCATTCACAGAAAACATGCCTTAATTAGTTGGATTACATTGATCCCTGTAACTTCACATGTTATTAGTACTTAGTATGCAATGTTACTAGTGGTCTCTTATTTAAATGTTTAGAGTAAGCCACACAAAGGCTCCAGGGAAACTGTGACTTCAGGAGTAGTGGATAAGAAAAAAGAGTTGCAAATTACTTCATTTATCTGTGCAAATGTATCAACTTGATGCTAATATCATTAAAATTGTACCTAGGATATTTTCAGATATGTAAATGTCACCCATTGGTTAATTTTCATATTATACTGAAAGCAGTGATAAACTCATATTTTAGTCTGACATACAGAGAAGATTACTTTAGAGAAGATGAAGATGCCGTTAGAAAACTTCATGAACTATTACATTGTACTTGTATTTGAAGTTATGCTAATTCTAGTAATAGTAAAATGGATGGTAGTATATTCATGTCTCTTTTCAGAGAAGTCTGATATTAGAATTCCTCTGTGATTTTCTGCTATTAGAAGTCCTTTTGAGTAGGTAATGATAAAGTAGATGGATTTCTCTTAAAATATGTTAAAAATAATGAGTCATGACAGAACAAGAAAATGTAAGCCTATAATTCTACTTGAGAAGCTGGAAGCTCCCTTTGTCAAAGCATTTTTTCCTCCTAAATTACTAGAGAGGCCATAAACATAATAGAAGCTTCTGAAAAAACAAACATATTTTAGTAATAAAGTAAGCAATTTCACACCTCTCACATATTTAGAAAGTTTATCGTGGAAGGAAAGGAAGCCACTGTGCCTCGCTATAGTATTCCAGTAGTATTTGTCAGTGCATGCAAGATAAGCCATATAAAATGCACATATGACTCTGCTTCAGAGGACACAGACAGAAAATGATCTCTTTGTGAGCCACAGGTAGGCATTAATATGTAGATTATGATAAAGGTAAACTTAAAGGTAAAAATAGGGGTGTTATATCCACTTTATATAAATATTAAGCATGCTTTTATTACACAAAATACATTTTAAAGTTCACATAAAGAAAACAAAAATTTCTTTTTAATGTAATAAAGTTCTTAGAGTATTATTAATAAAGCTTTCTGCATGGCTGTGCTTCTGTATTGAAATTTTAGACACTATTTTAGAAAATATATAGAAATCAAATTATATGTTACAGTAAGATTTTTAGCACTGATGAACTGAAGCTGACTTCCCAGCTAAACTTTCCCCCCTCCCCATATTACTACATATGATTTTAAATGACTGCATCTATTTCTTTGAGACAACAAACATAACTCATATGAAAAGATACACTTACCTTATCACTCTGGAGGTTAATGGTGGTGGTGGTGGTGGGGTCACAGACCAATATGAACTAAAAGGTCAGGTATGTTTTAGAAAAGCAGCTTCTCTTTAATCAACCAAAGAATACATTTTCAGGCATGAATTAAAGGCAATCCATTCTCTTTACCTCCCATTTCAAACCATAGGGAAGAAGCAGTCTCCCACCCTTCCAGACAGAAACACAGCAGACACACATAAGAAATATGCTTTGGACCTGTCTTCAAAATTCAACGCAAGAAGCAATTTTGGTCCTGTAGAAATCCAGACCCCAGTAGCAGAATCATGTTGAACTTATTTTAGAATTTTTGTAGCTCCTTCTATGAAATTTCCTGGCTGATTACACCTCCTCCACACATGAGTTCACTTACACGGTGTTTGCTACGGCAGTAGAGGTGATTTGGCTAGCATCGGAGGATCACAAACAGCAACAACCCACGGAAGCCTAACGCCCGCTCCGCCGGCAATACCATCAGCATCATCCACGGTATGTTGCTTGAATCCCTTCTCACACACGAGAAAATGCTAACTGTGGAGATGAAGGAGAGGAGCAACTTTAGCTGGGATTCTGCATCAGTGAGAGCAGTTTGGAGACTGCTGATGTGGAGCTCATTCTGCCGGCAGCCGGGAATTCCTCAGCACCACGGACAGCGCCAACAACTGGCTCCAGAGCCCAGCCGGATTGAAATCCCCTCACTGCTTCTTTAGACCAGGCTAGAGCGTTCTCCAGACAGTCGCGCGTTACACAGCAGATGCGTGCTTTATAAGGGAGAAAGCATTCTGCGCGAGAGACACTTATTTGCATTGAAATTACAATCAGAAATTTAAAAAATTGTAATTATACCTAACGCATTCTTGGATGGGCTGCGGAGATGAAAGTTCCGGAAGAGACTTGGATTTAGATTTAAGCCATCTGCAGTCCTTGATTATTATTGATAGATAAAGCATTATCATTGTCAAAGAACCTGTGAAGATGTATGCTCGCCGATTCTGTTTGACCCTTTGGTTGCAGGAAGACTTTCTCTCCGCTACATGATTAAACTTCGGGTCTCCTGCAGGTTGGATTTAATTCAAAGAAGAAAAAAAAGTAGCCGCGTTTTCCTGCAGTTTGTTCTCCAACATTAAAAATCAATCTCCTGTAATTCATCTATTCTGTCATTAGGCGTCATTGTAAAGCTGTTTCTTCCAAACCTCTAGCGAAGATGCTGTCTCTAAATTCTAAATATAAAAAATGAGAAAAAGACCCAGACACAAATAAAAGGCAAAAAGTTATTATATATATTTTTATTGGAAACACTGTGAACATTGAAATGTATGCCCTAAGCACGTTCTTAAAGCAAACTGTAAATGTTTAACTGGCCTGTTTAACCAATTATTATCTGGTTTGGAACTACATGGAGTATTTAAAGGGAATGCCCTCCGCAGTGGGATATGCAGTGACTGGCAGTCAAGACCACGTTCTAATTGTGCCGTCAGCGCCTCCGGAGAACAGACTCTCTCCATCGTGAGAAAACACGACCGTGTGTGCCTCGCTCTGGTGGCCCAACAAGGCGTGAATCTTCCCCGATTTAAGATCTAGCAAATGAATCACCCCAGTAGCACTCGCCTGAGCTAAAACTCGACCTGGGGGGGAGGGAGGGAAAGAGAGAGAGAGAGAGAGAGAGAGAGAGAGAGAGAGAGAGAGAGAATATCAAAATCAAAGTTTAATTCAAGCATTACTTATAAAGCAGTATAACATTAATTTCACTTGTGATCCAATATTCTCATTTTATGTTAGCTATCACAAAAATAATTTAAGTCAAAATCAACACACTTCATATATTAAATTACTAAATTTTAGAGTGGTAAGATAAAATCTAATTTCTACATTCTCTCTAGGTAGAAGTCATCAAATACCTTGCTATTGTATCTATATTTATGATTTATAAATCACTTTGAGAAGATGAATTTGATCAAAGAAAGGAAATTCCTTCTTCAAATTAATATACAAAAAGTGTCATAGGCACAGTTTTTAAGATTCATTTATGACAAAATCTGTATAGATATAAATCATATAGAATTTATATTTTGCATTCTTTAAACTTGTTTATCATAATTATGGTAATGTTTTAAATTCTAATAATATACAAACTTCCAATAAAATGATAATATTCATGAAGTCAAATTTTCTTTGAAGTTGCAAAAATAAAATATCTCTATTTCAATATGTTCCCTTTTTTTTATTTTTGAGGCAGAGTCATGCTCTGTTGTTCTGGCTGGCCTTGAACTAACTATGTAGCCCAGTCCAGCCTCAAGCTCATGGCAAATATCCTGATGCAGGTTCCCACATGCTGGGATTACAGACATGCAACGTCACTCCTGGAATGGTGTGGGTTTTTAAATTCTACCTTAGAATTCAAAATTAAACTAAGTTTTTGTTACATAAGATAGCTAAATATAGTGCAGGGTGTTCTCATAATTTTCATATCCTCTACTATTTTAGTGAATCATTTATTCAAAGAGAAAAAAAAATTAAAACTCCAATTTAATTCACAAATTTTATTTAAAAAGTCTAGTAATAAACTATCACAGGACTTAGAGACAAAACCAATTGAATGCTTATATAAAATCAGTACTTAGGGCAAGTAACTGTAATATTAATGTTGTCATTGGATTATATAATCATATTTAGAAGGGATATTATCACACAGTTTAACATTTATTAAACTCTTTCAGTTGTACTAGATATTATACTTAATAGCTGATATGAATGATTTCATAAATTTCTGAACAAAATCTAAAGGTCAGGAAAACAGTATTAATTCCACAGTGTAGGTGAAGAAACAGAGTTTTGGGAAGACTATTTAATCTTCCTAACTTGATCCCAATGACAACTTATATGTAGAAGAAGCTAAACTTTAATCATGACCACTTTAAGTCCATAGCCTGGGTTTTAGCCATTATGCATTTCACAGCTGATGCAGCACTATTATCAATGATGTCTTCCTAAGTACATTGGACATGTGATCCATCATGGAAAATAAGACATTTCCATTTCATAATAGGAATTTGATGGAGGGACCCGAAGTTTAACATGTCAATACTTGATGGAAAATACCTGTTCCTTGTTATGTCTAAGGTGTTTGATATTCAGACAGATAGTGAGGTTAAACTCAACTGCCTATGTTATAGGGTAACAATATTATTAAGCTTCTCTTCTGGATGGTTAACAACTTAAGTTTGCAGACCAAAAATTAAAGAAAAAGAAAGGCTGCAAGGACAGCCAACATTCTGGTCCTAGCCTTTCAAGGTCAGTAAGGACTCAGGAAATAGGAGAACATGTTCTGTAACTCAATTGTGTCCCAAATTTTCTGATCAAGATTTTGGTGCCACAGAGGAAAGTGATCAATGATGTAGAGTGTGCCTAAGGAGAGTCACATGGAGAGAAAATGTTCTCTCAAGCTTTCTTAGAGAAAAAATTGGTTAAGCAATGGCCGTGACTCATCCATATGGCTGACACTGACAAAGAACGTACAAATTGAGGTACAGGGTTTCAGGTCAAATCCTGAGGGGATTTGATTGAATTTATTAGATAAAAAAGTTACATTTCTTGTTATATAGGTCTCGCTCTTTCTTGGTCTTAACCATCCAGCAGAAAAGTATGAAAATGAAGTATAAAAAGTAAAGCTATATTAATATGATGAGCTATAAAATGCTCAAGTCAACAACTTCGGACATTGACAGTCTTATGGAAAACCCACTACTGTTATGGACTATTGGACTATATTGGAATATTTTGCTGAATTCTTGTACCTACAGTATTTAAATGACAATTGAATGCCCTTCTCTGACAAAACAACCAAAAAAGGGGGATACAACTAAACAACCATTTTGTATCTGCATACTCAAAAATAGGGTTGATATACAGCTCCATTCCCTTAATTCAATGGAGAGGTTTGTTCTAATAGTGTTTGAGACAGGATATCAGGTCTGCATCTTGTACAATGAATAAACACAACAATATGCAATTTATTAATTATTGAAAATGTTCTAGTAATCGGTTGTAAAAAGGTCTCATTGCTATTTGTTTCTCAAAAAATATTAAAAAAGATTTAGATAATGGTATCATTATAAAAGTCACAGTAAAATATTTAATCACAAATTTTACCCCAAATCATGAGTATCTCTAAAACAGAAAAGTTTTAAAAGTAAAGCTAACCATGATAAATATGGTCTATTTGCAAACCTTATAACTGCTGGGTTTCTTCATCTAGAACAAAGCCTGACACAGCAAAGATCCTTAGGATGGATTAGAGTGTCCAAAGCAGCAGATGTGAATATTTATTATAAACCTCCTTCTACTAAGTCTTTGCTGACAGAGGCATTACATATGGATTTCAGGTCCAGCCTCCTTGTATAGGCAATTGCTGTTTGTGACTTTTCTAAGAATCAAACAAACAGCTGTTTTCTATAGCTTTATACAGCAACTGAAAATGGAGTGATTTCATTATTACTATTATTGTTGTTGTTGCTACCAAGTTAAATAAAGCCAAAGGTCATAAACAAAAGAAAATGATTGCAATCCCCAGGCCTGCTGTGCCTGCCAGGGTGTGCTGAGATGGCAATTGAGCTGGCGTGGTGATGTTTACCTGTAATCCTAGCTCCTGGGAGACTGTAAATAGGCAGATCACTACGAGTGCCATCTAGTAGTGAGACCCTGAATGCCCTATAGACCCTTCCCTAAAAAAAAAAAAAAAAAAAAAAAAAGAAAGAAAGAAAGAAAGAAAGAAAGAAAGAAAAGAAAAAGAAAATGATTTAGCTTTAAATTATTCATTTCTTCCTGTTCTTGTTCTTTTTTTTTTCTTCCTGGAGTCAAATCTGTCAAATGGGGAAACAGTTCTCCTTCCCATCTTGCAAGATGGCAGGTGAAAACTGAGAAGACAGACACTAAAGAGAAGAAACCCAAAGCCAAAAAGGCTTCTGCCAGTGGTACTGGTAAAAAAGGTAAGGTGAAGGTTAAAAAAAGTCCAAGAAGAGGCAGCCCCACTGCAAAGGAAAGCATGTCCTAGTTATAGGAATTGGTAGATACTCCTGATCTGCTATGTATTCCAGAAAGG